TTTTCAGTTCATTGAAAAATTGAAAGTATTGCTCGAACGGTCGTTTTTCAAAAAAATCCATGTTCACTTGCATATAGAACTGCGGATCAAGTCCGAGTTGCTAACGATTTCTGGGTTCAGGAGCTGCTTGAGGTTGTGGCTGGGGAGCTAGAGAGCTGAGTTTAAAACTTTTATCTCGCGTCTGCATAGAGAATATTCCTGCAAAGTTTTAGCTTTCTACGTTGCCTGGTTCGCGAAGTCTTTTCCTGCCAACAAATTATTTTGGGGGTCCCAAACGCAGGGTTTAGGCGTGTATGGGGAAAGATCTTAAAACGGGACGATGAAACACGGGGTAGGAACATATGTCCAAAGTTTCAGCCTCCCAGCTTTCCTGGTTGTTAAGACGAAATTGGGTAACAAATTGCACTCGCTTTCCGCACACACACACAGCCTCTCGACAATTTGCGTTTTTGCTGGCTGTAGCAGCGCTATAGCGCAGCAAAAACGCATAAAAAGCGAGCGTTTGCCGATAAACGAGCGGATTTCACGCAAAAAACAGGAGGTCCATGCCGCTCTATAAGGTACCGCTTTCAACCCAACCGACTGCCCCTTTCTCTTGCATGCCGAAAGGGAAAGCTCGGCCAGAGCCCAAATGTGGGGCTACAACGCAGGGGTCATTCCTGCTATTAGCGGCCTGCGAAATTAGTGTAAAAGCGCATGATCGCACCGGCAAGACTGGTGCATTCCAGCTTGGGTTAAGGACTATTACCAAAAATCGACAAACACTAAGGATAAACTTTGGTTGTAACGAAGAACACAGGCTATTTCGTGCGATAAGTTTTGCAAGCAGTCAGTTTTGACAGAATTCGAAAGATGGGCGTTGGAGTAAACAAGTCATAGATGCAAGTATTTTCACAGTATACTCCGAATGTACTGTGACCAACACGATCTTATCGTAATGTGTCTTTTCGAGGCTTTGAAAAACAGGCACATGCATATGAAGAAGTTACCGAACAGTAAAATGCACCGCTCCAATAAAACCAAGCGTCATTAACGCAACTGTACCCTAAAAATTGAACTTTAAATTTTTGTTAACACAAACACATGTTCTTTCCCCAAGCACTGTCAGAAATTTTAAAGTTAGGGCGTATTAAAGATGCTCCTTTAAATGATGTGTTTCTGAAGTTGTACTGAATCTGACTCTTGGCTCTTAAACAAGCAGAATTAATTGGCCAACGCTCGGACTGTCCGTGCGAGGATGCATTTTTTCCACAGTTCCCAGCAGTTTTTGTTGCTACCGGCATCGGTTTTTTCGGCAAATCCCTCTGGCGAAACAAATTAAGACAGGCCGCCAGAACTGACATGAAACAACCCCTTAAAATTTCAGCTTTCTGGCATTTCTGGTTTTTGAGTTAACGACTTACTGAAAAAAACTTTCATGAGCCCGCAGGTTGGTAACACGCATACCTGATGTCTGGGTTTGGGCCCGTTGAGACTTACTTAAAGGGAGAACATCCTCTTAAAACTGCCGTCTTCTATTTTTTCAGATTCTCGAGTTAGCATCTTTATCGAAAAAATTTTGGCGGGCCTGTACGCGCGTACCACGCTTACCCGGGGGCCATGTTTGAGGTCATTAATACTTACTTGTACGAGGGACATCCCCTTAAAATTTCAGCCCTCAAGCATTTCTGGCTCGCGAGTTAGCAGCTTACCCGTAAAAACTATGGCGGGTTCTTGCGTGGGTACCACGCGGGTAGAACCACCCATTTTGGGGATGGGGCTCATACGTGCATGTAGATTAAGTCCCCAAAGTTTCAGCCCTGTAGCTTTTGTAGGTCTCTAGATGAAAAATCGGTACAGAGGCCTTGAGCATACACAGGCAACCTCTCGTCAATATGCGTTTTCCGCATTGCATAGCTGCAAAAAACGCATAAAAATGGGTTAACGGGTGTCAAGAAGGAGCGTCTTCACGAAAAGTGTGATTGATGTATTTCAAATCAAATTTAAAAAATGCTTTATCTGTATTTCGATAGTGCAAGTGCACTTTCATTCCTTGTAGGTGATGGTGTTAGGAATATGTATCAGTTGGGCATGGCTGTTCACATTTTTTGGCAGGCCTAGGGCTTCTGCTGTGATGCCCATACTGGACGGTAGGGAACTGAGAATTCCGGATGGAACCGATGGTCTGGCGATCGTCCGAAGTCATTCGGCCAATGTCCTCATTCTTCAAGGAACGACGTTCGACAGCTGGTGGCAGGAGCAGCAACAAGCAGCGGTGGGGGGCACGAGGAATGGCAGGATCGACAACGACAGCAGCTACACAGATGACGACGACAGAGGATTCACTCCATCCCAGCTTTTACACTATTAATGCCATATGTTAGTAATTTATAGTACTTTGTAATTTATTAGCGTTTAACGTTTCGCGTCCGACCCAAACGTTCACACTCGGTAGCTATTACCAGCATTCGCTACCGATAGTTATCACCAGTTATTACCAGCATTCGTTAAAGTGATATAAGTGTATGCCGGCAAGACTCATATCTGGATGTGCTTCTTTGAAAACGCAAGAAAAAAAAACACTGAGGAAACGCCTGACGGTCATTTTATCATTTATTGACAAAGGTTAAATTACCCAAGTTTGAGGGTGTACCAGCCGAGCTGGAAAAATCGAAGGAGCCAACGAACTGCGCTCGCAAAACGAATCAAAGAAGGGGCGACGTGTTGTGCTACGTTCAGGAGCAGGAACTACTACTACGGATGACTCTGCCGGTCTAGAACTGTACATATTTAGCACAAATTCTTTGAAGTGAAAAACTTGCGGAGCTACTGTGGCCTGGAAAATCATCGCCCACGTCAAGGTGAGTACATCTTTTTTTCCAAGTTTTTTGCGTCTTTGCAATTATAAATGCAGCTATTTCGTGACAAAGGCTGCGTTTATGATAAAGGGGCATTATTCGATAGATGCTTTTATTTTTTCCCATGACTCTTTATTTTGTTTACTTTATTTTTATTTTATTTTGTTTTATTTTTCAGCTCCAGTTGATTCTCTTTTGGCCCCTTGTTCCAGCTACCGTAGTCAATTGTCTGAAGGCAGCATACGCTTCCGGGGTCTGCGAACAGATCCGTTTAGCGCGGTCGACTCGGCGGGACAACGGCCTGGACCGCGCCTTCAATTTCTACTATACAAGGGCCTCTTTTCTCCAGTCGGAATCTTCTTCATGTTCTTCACCCAGGATATCTTCCGTTCAACTTATCCCCTCGATAGGATCGACACTTGGCTCTCAGAATCGCTCCACGGCTAACAACTCGATTGTTACCTCAACAAATTTAACGTCAGTATTCTACTGATGGCCAAGAATCATTATTCAATATTTCTTAGCGCGCAAGCCATGCTAATTGGTGACTGCGTGTACTGCCCCGTTTGCCTCTTTTTTATGCGTTCTTGCATATATGCAAATGCAACCCAGGCTGGAACGCACCAGGCGAGCCGG